TCATGCTAATACTTTTATTAAATCAAATTTTAACTATTGTTAAAACATTGCTACATTAGTTGATATACTAATCTAGTGATTTTTCTCAAATACTAACTCACCTGGTTACTATAATAGTACCTATATATGATTTGCTATAGTAACTTTTCTCCTCTTTACTCTTAGATTCTTAACTGAAAACTAAAAAGTATCTTGAAGGATAGTCACCACAACCTATCATGACTGCTATAGTTAGTGCTACCCTATCCTTAATCTAAGATATAATCCTAAAAAAAAGATAGAATGCAGCCTAACTATGCAGGAAAAAAATAAAAATTGTTACATATAACGAAAAGAATAAACTATATATTATATGAATCTAATATGTAGAGGAAAAACTTACTAACAAGTTAAAAAACTCTAACATATATAACAAAGAGAAAAAAAAAAAGCACTCCTCAAAAAGAAGTGTGAAAAAATAAACATATTATGCTATACGACAAATAAAAATACATATCTCTGTAAAATCTCTTTACATGTTAACTCCAATTTTGTTTATTCCACTATAATAGGCTATTTCACATGTTTGTTGTCTTCATGCAAGATCATATAATAACAAAACCAAAAAAGAAAGTGGTTGCATCATGCTGATCTTTTGAAGAGGATAAGCCAAATTTACTACTTTTTGAAAAAAAAAACCAAAAGAAAAAGGATGAGAGTGCAAGTAATCCAAATTTATATTTAAAGAATGTATTGCAAATTTTATATTCAAATATTTTTGAATAAATCTTCTTTGCCAAAGGGTTATACTATTAGAAACACCTTTTTTCCTTCTAGCTTAGATGCCAAATAGTATAGAGGAGTCCACTAGCAAAAAGTTTGATTTCTATTAAAACTGTGGAAGACCGAAGTTTCTTATTCATGCTATCTTCTTAGCTAAACTTCTCACTTTGTCAACAGTATCTTTTGTAGCAAATATTACTTAAATAAAAAGATTTTTTATATAAAATATTATGTTTGTTTTTCTATGAATTTTGGTACAAATAATCGATGAGAAGAGTTTTTCTTAAAAATTTATTCATAAAAGAAATTTGTATGGTCGCATATGGGAACTAGTACGAGAAGCCACATTACTTGCAGTTGAAAAAGACAATAATGAAATTATTACTTATCTTCAAACCTATATTAATTGAAAGCATAATAAAAATTATGATATATTTGAAGTTCTATGGCTAGTGAAGTATTTGACAATACTTGGGAAATTCAAACAAATAAAACTAGTGATCAAATAGAAGAATCTGAAACCAAAATTAAAGAAAGCCACAACATGAATGAAGTAATCCTTGAAAATGTAAAAAATTTGAACTAAGTTTCTATTAGAGGATAACTAGCTAAGTGAAGGTATATTAGTAGTGCTGAAAAAGAACAGGGCTACTGGGTACATCTAAAGGTAAAAGATCATATAAATGTCATATTTGTAATAATGTGAGCCACAATGTGGCTTTTTACAAGAAGAGCAATAGTGATAGCACAAAAAGTGGAGAAAGAGGAAGAGAGAGAGGTAGAGGTAGAGGTAGATCAATAGCATAGCAATCTGTAGTTTGATTTTTTTAGATTCTTAAAGATATAATAAATGTGAGATTAGTATTTATCAAGAAAAATTACTAAAGTATTTTGTTCGATTCTAATCACATGATGAACTTATAATTTGCATTACAGTAATTACCTTATCTATTATACCTGATTTAGGTAATTTCTTAACCTTAGAGTTAGAGTCACTTTTAGAATAGTTAGGTTAGCGTTAGAGTTAGAAAGTGCCTTTTCATATTTTTTTTCAAGTTTTTTTTTGTTATTTATCACAATTATCTGATATACTATATATTTTAGACAACAGAAATAAGTATCTTCAGTGCAATTTTAAAAATAGATTATTATGAAAATCACATCTTTTCTTTTGGCAACATTCAAATATGTATAATAATTTGATTACTATATATCACATAATTGTGCTTTACTTTAGACAACTCTGATTTAGAGTTAGGGTTATTTTTAAGGTTATCTTTATTAGAAATAGTTAGTAACTAAATTTATTTTATTTTTTAGCTTTATGTGATATATAAGTATATAGCACTCCAGATATTAGATTTAAATGTTATGCAGAAGTGCTAGATCTAGATTTACTCTTTTTATAGTATATTTGTTATAGTTTTTATTTATTTTGTTTAGTTTTTGTATTTGTTATCCATACAGAGTATTGATGGCAGTATGGATGAGTTTTATTATTTGTTTAGTATAGTATTTTAGTATAGTTTTATTAGCAATAGTTTTGTATAATAATTAGTCATAGTTTTTGGTTATATTACACAAAAAATTGTAGAATAGTCTAGAATATTATAGAATGTTTTAGAATATCTCAGAATATCTTGGAATCATATGGCAACTTCTAGAATCTTACAGAATGTTCTGGAACCTTTTAGAATTTTTTAGATATTATTAATTAATAATTAGTAATACATGTCATTTTAACATTACATGAAGAGTAGCACAAACACCACCTTTAACACCATGAATACTGTAGCTAAAAATAACTATTGGTCTACTCAAACACTATGAACACCAACATGAATTACTAATCTCTAGCAACTAAAGGTTATAAATACAAGCCTTTTTTTCCCTTAACTCGACATGATGTAGAATTAAAATCATAATAGTTCTTAAAGCAAGATAAATAATAATAACTTCTCTAAATAATAAC